ACCCACTGGTCGATACAAATGCTCCCAGTTCCTGCTTCTTCCGTGGCACCTTTCTGGCTCTTCTCAGCAGGGATGAAGGAACACCTACACAAGTATGAACTAGAACTCGTGTTTTCTGCCCTTGGACTGTAGCAGGTCTGTGAGAGGTAACACAAGCTTGCTGGCCGTAGCTTTGCTTTTCTCAAGCTTGTTATCCAGCAAACTGTAAATCACCAAATTGAATCTAGGTCACCTAAAAGGGACGCAGACCATCTCTTTTGTCCCTAAAGAGCCTGTGTGCACAGCCCCCAGTTATCCCACGGGGCAGGGCATGCCAAGCAGGGATTAGCAGATTCTGTTTCCTTTTCTTCAGCAACTTCACATGGTGCTCAGCCCTGCCAGGCAGTGATTAGCAGTTTTCTGTTTCCTTACCTGCAGCGACTTCAGGTGGTGCCCACAGCTGTTTCAGTTCCTCTGTGCTGGTCTTTCTGCCATCAGGACTGAGGTGAAGAGTTACGAAATGGTTAAACTGACTCCCTGGACGCACAAATGCTGATGAAGGTGATAACTCAATCTGCTGGATCGGGAGACAGCTATTTTAAATACTTTTCTTGCTGGGAAGCTTACCACAGCTGAGTAGGGCAATGAATTTCTAGGCTTGAAAGGAGGTAGCAGCCAGCAGGCTGCTGGCATTGTTCTTGTGTAAATATTGGCTGTAGCTGTGGTATCCGGACAGCTTCACCTTTGGCCCCTCCACTCTGCTCCAGCTTGCAGAACTGCTCTAGGGGCTTTGGCAGAGGTTTGGAAATCCCGTGTCTATGGCTGTACCTCAGGGAACGTGGATTGGCCTCTTCGCAACGGAAACCTTCGCTGGACTTGTGAACACTTGCTTACCTACAGGAAAACTTGCTCTCTGGGCTTGGCTGGAGTCCACGAGCACACTCATAGCTCTCTGCTGCTCAGGCTTTAAGTTCCACATACGTTTATTGAAGGGTGTTGCTGGTTTACATGGTTCCTGGTGCATTTTTCTACCTTTTCTCTGTCCCATCTGTCACACTGCGCTTGCAGCTGTGCCTTAACCAGCTCAGAAGATCAGCCTGGCTGAAGAATACAGAGACTGCTTGAATACCTGATCTGCTCAGCATCTCGACTCTGACTTGTCCACCTGTGTTCAAATCCTGTGGCTGGAAAATGTGCTTTCTGTGGTTCACATCGGGTATTCCTCAAGTAGTTCAACCCCAGCTGAAACTTGCCTTCGTTTAGTTTTCCAACACTGAAATATCTCCAGCCTGGCAGAGAGGATCTGCAGTTTATAACTTTGACCTTTAATCAAGACCAGTGCTCTTTTAATTGCTCAGAATAAAATACCACACAGTGCAGGGACAACAACATTATGTGTTAGGACTTATGGCCTCGGACCTCTAGTAGATCTCTTTTCCCAAAGCCCTGTCTAGAAAGCTGTGCCTCTGTGATCTCTGGGGTATCCTGATGTGTTTGGACAACTCAGCCTGGACTTTCTCCTGTTTCCCTGCAAGCTCACCTCCTTGGAAACAGCAGAGGAGTCTTCACCCAGAAATCTTCAGGCTGAGAACAGGAAAATCAGTCCTAAACCTCCCCTTCGCTGCCTTAAGCTGATACAAAGACTGGCTCAGAACACAAGTACTGAACTCTCCTGAGTGCTGCAGCTTAGATAAACACCCACAACGTCGCATTAATTGCAGCAGTAGTTTATTAGAGCCCAGTGACCTGCTTGTTTGCAGGATCGGGACCTAAATACCCAAACCACTTGGGTAAGCTGCTGGGTGAAAAGCCCGACAGAAAGAAGGTGCCAACACCACCTCCAAAGCAGCGGCTCTTCAAAATAGATGGCCGGGCTCCTGCCACCCTCGATACCAAAATAATCATAGAAATCACAGACTGGTTTGGGTTAGGAGGGACCTTAAAGCTCATCCAGTCCCAACCCCCCTGCCATCAGCACGGACACCTTCCACTAGACCAGGTGGCTCAAAGCCTCATCCAACCTGGCCTTCAACACTTCCAGGGAGGAGCAGCCACAGCTTCTCTGGCCAACCTGGGCCAGGGTCTCACCACCCTCACACCAAAGAATTTCTTCCTAATATCCATTCTAAACCTCCCCTCTTCCAGTTTCAAGCCATCACCCCTTGTTCTGTCACTCCCTGCCCTTGGCCAAAGTCCCTCCCCAGCCTTCCTGGAGCCCCTTCAGGTACTGGGAGGCCACTAGAAGGTCTCCCCAGAGCCTTCTCTTCTCCAGGCTGAACAGCCCCAACTCTCTCAGCCTGTCCTCACAGCAGAGCTGCTCCAGCCCTCGCATCATCCTCGTGGCCTCCTCTGGACTCGTTCCAGCTGGTCCATGTCTGTCTTGTGTTGGGGGCTCCAGAACTGGACACAGCACTCCAGATAATCCCAGCCCAGGTAAACTGCAGAGGCACACGCTACTGTGCAGTGTCTTTCTCTCTTCCCCCGTCCCTCTGTTCCCAGGAAGGATCTGGGAGAGGTTTTCCAGGTGTGCTGCCCAAACCTGCAGTCACTTTTTGGCTTTGTCAGCCCCCTTGGTGTGTCCTGCTCAGGTTGGCTCCCCTGGCTGCTCCCTGCCCGCTGGCTGAGTCCATCTTTGGAGGGTGAGTGTTCCTGGCATGACTGACTCATCCTCCTTTCTAAGTTGATCCTTAACCAGACAGGTAATTAAGACTCGTTAGTGGTCTGGAAAATGCTGAGCACATCTTCCATTTTTAAACTACCCGAGGTGAGTCTGCCTTCTACATGTTTGCTGCCCTTTTTTCCACAGAGCCTGTCAACAGAAGAAATGGAGACTTTTTATTTGGAAGGACTGTACTGATGGGAAGAGCAGCTCAGTCTGAAGAGGACATATGATGTGTGGGGCTCCAAATGAGATGCAGTCTACATACTCGTGCTAATGCAAAGTACATTTATGTACTGACTGAGCTGGGTCTAAATGGACCCAAAATGGAGATGGAGCAGAGGGGGAAGATTTTGTGAGTTCTGCTGATCACAGTGTTAGAGCTCCCTTGACCTGCCTGGCCTTGCTGCATTCGGATGTGCTGTTATCTGTCACCACACCAAGCACTTGGCAGGAGGTCTGGCTGGCCCGGGGTGGCTCCAGGCTGCCTGCATTGCCTGGGGCAGGATCCAGCCCCGGGACAGCATTCCTGTGTTGGGAAAGCTTGTTATCATCACATGAGGTGGCCTTCCCCTGGCTGCAAAGCTTTGTAAAGCTGGTAACCAGAGCAGCATTATCTGTGGGAGCTTCTCCTTTATCAGTCAAGACTGAATCCTGCCCCAGAGGAGATGAACCCAATCTATCTGATGGTCTGAGGGCTGGAGCAGCTCTGCTATGAGGACAGGCTGAGAGAGTTGGGGCTGTTCAGCCTGGAGAAGAGAAGGCTCCGGGGAGACCTTCTAGTGGCCTCCCAGTACCTGAAGGGGCTCCAGGAAGGCTGGGGAGGGACTTTGGCCAAGGGCAGGGAGTGACAGAACAAGGGGTGATGGCTTGAAACTGGCAGAGGGGAGATGGAGCTGAGATGTGAGGAAGAAATTCTTTGGTGTGAGGGTGGTGAGACCCTGGCCCAGGTTGGCCAGAGAAGCTGTGGCTGCTCCTCCCTGGAAGTGTTGAAGGCCAGGTTGGATGAGGCTTTGAGCCACCTGGTCTAGTGGAAGGTGTCCCTGCTGCTGGCAGGGGGGTTGGGACTGGATGAGCTTTAAGGTCCCTTCCAACCCAAACCATTCTATACCTCATGCTGCGTGCTCTGTCCCCCACTGAGCTCCGGGGTCTGGGTAACAGTGTGATGCTGGGAGTCAGGATGCTCAGAGCTGCCTGGAGTTGTCCTCTGCAGTAATGCTGTCTGCAGGAGGGGGCTGTTCCAGCCATAGCCCTCTGCCAGGCAGGTTAAAAACCACCACACCACTTCTCTTGCACTATCTACAAGCCTGGAAAACCTGGACGTGGCACTGGGCAGAGGCTGTGGCCAGAGAGAGAATAACGGGTTTCTTTCTATAGCAGGGTCTGCTCTGCCCTTGACATTCAGAGAGGCTCCCTGGCTTCAGGGTGTCCTGCCAACAGGGCAGAGGCAGGTGGTTTGGAGAGCAGGACACAAAGCTCCTCCTGACGCAGGGAGGTTTTGTGTTTGACAGCGAGGAAAGGGACCTTCTTCCTTGTCACACTGGGAAGAAAGTGTCCCTTGTGATTTCCAGGAATACAGCATTTGGCTGCGACGTCCTACAAACTGCGAGTGAGGCAGTTTGTAGGCAGGGAAGGGAAATATCTTGCCTGGAGCATCTGCCTTACGAGGAGAGGCTGAGAGAGCGGGGACTGTTCAGGCTGG